TTAAATTTGACCAAAAACTCGGTGGAAAGGATCGGACAGAAGATAATTTCACAGATTAGACTTATTTCAGTTACAATGTGACTTTATATCAGTTCGGCGGATTCGATTTTAGGGGGTCTTAGTTTTCATCATCTCGAAAACTAAGACGGGGCTTAGGTCTTGGGTCTTAGTTTTCGAGGGTCTTAGTTTTCGTAACACCCACAGTAGATCTCAAGGGCCATTGAGGGAGGCTCCATAGCTCTGACGGATCGAGAAATACGACATGCCGCCGAAGATCTGGACTACTGGAGTCATGTGGTTGCCGCCTGCCGAGACAATCCGGATTGACCCGCAGAAGAGCTTATATACTATAGTAAGCTCGTGCAAACTCCAACCGCAATTTGATTTTGATCTTAAACTGCATGTCAAACATGTGAAGCGTATTCACTTGCTGTTTCGTTTAAGTCGGCCGGCTGTTTAAGTCATTCGCTGGTTCAATTTATTTTGGCTGCTTTTCTTGCCGTTATTGCTTGTTAAACCTCATTTATTTCTCTTCCTTGCAGGGGCTACCGGTAATTCAACCAGAGAAGACAAAATGTGTAATGAACATGACACATCAGAACAATACTATTTACAGAGGTCCACGAAAGTATGCGGAAGAAATCCCCACCTACGACAACAAAATAACCGCAGTAAATCTTACAGTAACAAACCTACATCTCCGCCTCTTGTTAATGGGCATACAAATTATTTCAGTCTAACAGGGGATGGTTTCCATGAGAATGGTCATGAAGATAATGACGGAGTAGAAGAAGATAAAAATTCTCGTCACACGAGCAGAGTTCTTGTAGATAGTGTTGCACATGCAGATTATTCCTTTGATAAAGACAACGGTAATAGTGATGATGCTGTCGGCGAAAGTAACGGTAGTGAAAAGAACGATGGATACTGCGTCGTGAATTGCGACAGCAGCGAGGATGCTGAATGTCAAACTGTTGGTGCTAATGAACTAGCAGGCGATAGGCACGGGCACGATGTTGATGGCAATGATGATGCCAACATAGGTAGTGGTAATGCTGACCATGATGATAATAACGATGGAGCTAATGCTGCTTCTACTGTTAAAAATGACGGTGATAGTGATGAAGATGGTGATAATGGCTGCCGTGGATATCACAACCCTCACCACCTCCACCATGCTAGACACGAACATAGTGATGGTGGGGGTGGTGTGGGTAATACTGTTCGCAGTGGTGACAGGGATAATGATAAAGACCGTGGTAACCGTGGGGAGTTTAATGGAAATGGCAACTTTGATTATGAAAATAAAAATGATGCTGAATCCGAAGAAGTTGTGGCTAAATCAAGCTCGTTACCTGTTGAAAGCCTTGTACCAGGGAAAAGTTTCAAAGATTTTAAATTAGCTACCAAGAACACCAAACTTAGCTTTCCAGTTAACGCTGGCTTGGATGACCAAGTTAAATCTCGGACAATCGGAACTACACCGGGGGACAACAATGGTAACAAAAAGCCGCCGGGGGCTAGAGCGAAAACGTTGCTTACTAGTAATGAGTACACTGCAAAGGTACCTACGGCGAGTTATCCACCAAGCCTAGTATCGAAGACTTCGTCACTGAGGTTACCTCGAGTAAATGGGGCGGAATTAAATTACTTTTACAACGGCAGAATACCATCCCTAGATGCGACAGGTATCAATCAAAATTTCCTTGCGCGACATACGACAGATCAAAGTCTACAACATGCCTCACAGCCTAGTGATTTTAAACAAACGAGAGAATTGACTCCACCTACGGATTGGCCCGTGTGGAGTCTACCACCTCCTCCAATGACTGAAACAAATGATTTGAGACATCGATGGCCTCAGTCAAGTGTACTGCACCCTTCCGTCGTCAGTTATCAAACTGGGAGACAAAGTAACTGGAATGATGAGCCACCTGCATTAAGGTTACCTACAGTAAAATCGCCTGCGCCCGTGGTAGGTCCCAACGTCACTGCACCAGTCACGGAGTTGCAGCCTTCTGCAAGTGTAACATCTCAGAGTTTACCTTCATACAGCTATCAATCCAGTGTGTTGCCTGAAAATTTGCAAGAACGTTTCATGGAGCCTTCCATACCCAATGTCGTTCCAGAAAACCAAGAAAATGTTCGTCCTATCATTTTATCTGCTTCAAGAAGAGAAGAGCAGAGAACTGGTACTGAGGCATTATCGCCGGAGTTCCCGGATGACCCCTCACTTGCCGCACTTGAACGCAAGGTGGCGGAGGCATGCGCAGTAGTTGAAAGGGTTATGAGAGAACGCGAAGAAAGAACAAAAGCGCAGCGTGAGGCAGCGCGAAAGAAAAGAGAGATAAGAGAACAAAGAGAAAGAGAGGCAAGAGAAATGAGAGAAAGAGAAGAAAGAGAAAGGAAAGAAAGAGAAGAAACAGAAAGGGAAGAGAGAAAAATGAGAGGAAGACAAGAGAGAGAAATAAGGGAAAGAGAAGAAAGAGACAGGAGAGAAAACATAGAAAATGAAGACAGGGATGCAAGGTGGTTTGGGGGAGAACGGGCGCCTGTCCAAGAGAGCCCGCGATGGCAGTGCGAGCATTATCAGCGGCGTTGCCTTGTGAAGTTTCCTTGCTGTGGAATATTCTACCCGTGTCATCGCTGTCACAATACATCGGGGGCGTGTGATACTGATGACAGGAAGGCAAATAATGCGACGCATGTCAAGTGTGGCATATGTGGACACGAAGAAGAGGTAAGTAGCTTTTTTGTTCTTACGGTTATTCCAATGAATTGCTTTGCGCATTCTTGCTGCGCATAAATACACCCTTGATTATCGCGCACATGAAAAAAGGCGGCTTTTGCTGTAAGGTTGGAGTTCGCCAGAGGTAAATCTTCATTTATCTCTTAAACGAGTATGGCCTCCTATCATTTTCTTTCCTTTATCAAATTGAGCGGCAACTTTCTTTCTGTAGGAGTTAGACAAAT